GTAAGAAGTAGAAAGTACAGGTATTTGTGTTAAAAGTGTAAGAAGTCAAAGTAAAATAAAATAAATAAATAGTGGAGTAAAGTACTGATTCCAGAACAATCTACTCAAGTACATTAAGGAAGTATTTGTACTCCACTACTTCCCACCTCTGGCTTTAAGACATACTGACACTAACTCTGTAAGTCAGGCATGGAGGAAAATAGTTTTTTCATCTACGCCTCTGTGTGTTTCAGCGCTGTGTACCTGGTGCGTCACCTGGACACCCGGCAGCGCTTTGCCATGAAGAAGATCAACAAGCAGAACCTGATCCTGAGGAACCAGATCCAGCAGGCCTTCGTGGAGCGAGACATCCTCACCTTCGCAGAAAACCCCTTCGTGGTGTCCATGTTCTGCTCCTTCGAGACCAGAAGGCACCTCTGCATGGTCATGGAGTACGTGGAAGGTGAGGAAACTGTGTGTGTGCCGACCATACACTGTATAAACATCATGTTATTAGCATTTACACTTTTCTCAAAGATATTGAAGTGAGTGTTATTTTGTATATATTGATTGTTGTGCTTTTATTTAGGTCTTAATGTGTGCATATGTATAAAGGTGTCTGTTGATTCTGTATATATAGGATATACATATTTTTATATATTTGTATTTTTGTATTCAGGATTGTGGGAAACAGTATTTCGATCTCTCTGTCTGTACACAAACTGAAAGATTGACAATAAAGTTGACTTTGACTTTAAACCTTTATGAATACAGCTATAGTGACCAAAATCGACCAAACAAACAAATTCTTCATGCAAATTACCGTAATTTTCGGACTATAAGGCGCACCTGAATATAAGCCGCAGCAGCTAAATTGAATGATGTGTACATATATAAGCCGCACTGGACTATAAGCCGCAGGTGTTTTAATGTTTAATTACCATATGTAAGGGTTCGTGCACAGAGGGGATTGTCGGGAAAGAGATGGCTGTTTGAGGAAGCTCCCATTTATTAACATTTCAACAAACAAGTTGCATATTTGCATAACGTATTCAAGTGTTAGCATTTAGTGCAATAGTAGCTACAGAACATGTGCTGTGCTGTGTAAACTGTACTGTATCACATAGCGTTTCAGACACAAACACTTTTTAACTTTCAAACTTAAACGGTGCGCTCCCAGCGCATGTACCGGCAGTGATCTACAGCAGTGGTTTTCAACCAGTGGTACGGAGACAAACTGTCTCGCTCTCGTAATGTCTGTCTGTCTTGCTCTCGTTCTGTCTCTCGTACCACTCTCGGTTCCACTTTTACTTTTGCGCGCTACCTGTCTCACTCTTTTCCGGCCTCCAGCTTTTCCTGCTGGAACCCGCCGCTTAAAGGCTGGGGGTCCGCGGACCGGCCATAGAGCCCATAGAGTTAAAGGTGTTGGCCGTGAGCTGTACAAATCCATAGATTAGCCGCACCGTTATATAAGCCGCAGCGTCGAAAAATGGGAAAAAGGCGCGGCTTATAGTCAGAAAATTACGGTACTTTAATATTTCTTTATGTTGTTGTCATTCTCATATCTCTTACTCACGAAAAGCTCAAAACACATAAACCAGTATCATTTATGCTGGTTTAAAAAGAATAAAGCTGGTGAATTTACGTTGAGTTCTTTCGGTACAAAGTAATGGTGTTGTTGTTGTTGTAGTTACACTTTAGAGGTGATGATAAACGCTTAAAAATAATGGATATTTTGGATTTACGTACCTTGAAAGTACTTAAATCTCACTCTTAAAAGTTTGTAAAGACCCTGTGTTTACATATTGTGTTTACTATATTAAACCCCCCTATGATCACATCACAGGATGCTGGTCCCTTTATTCATCCTGAAAAACACTGTTTTCTTTCCCCCCCCCTTCTGCTCTTTTCTGTCATGTTAATTACAAAGCAAACACTCTTTTTGTACCTTTTACCACGTGACGATCATCAGTGAGATTCAGCAGCTTGTAAAGCAGTCACAGGAGGTGGTATTGAGTTTTCAAAGCGTATCAGAGTAAATCAGTCGCAGTGAGTGATTTAACAGGTTATCAACACGTCAATCACCGTTTGTATAACGTGTTTTGTTTCCCTCTTGTCTCTGCAGCTCAGCGATCAGCCCTCGCTGGAGGAAGCCATCAGGATAGCATCGAGAATACAGCAAGGAGAGGGGCTGGACGATTGATGCTCTCATTATGGACTATGATTTGGCATCAAACATCTAAAATTGACTATATATTGACGAGAGAAATCACGCGTCTTCCTCCCATGTTTTTGTTTTTCTGTCTTTCCACCAGAGGACTTAGCTTTTATGTGTACATAGGATTTTGATAACTGGAGCTCTGCTATGCTGTTTTGTCCCTCGACCAAGGCGGGAGAGGGGAAAATGCTTTCTAATGTTTATGATGCACAGTGCACAGTGACGTGTACAGCTAATGCTATTTCTAATTAAAGAGAAATTGTGTGATTATATGACTGTACTTGATTTTTAAAAACTCCTGAGTTAAACGTACGAAACCACCGTTCCCACAGCAAATACGGAAAATAAATATTACAAGCAAGGTTCAGTTAAGGATTACATGACACAACATTTCATTTATGAGTTTATGTCAATGGTATTGGGGTGCGTGGCATTTGTAGCTGAGGTCAGAGTAACTGAATTCTGTCAAACAATTATATTTTTAAAAGGAATACCGGTAACTTTGCAGTATATCCAATGACAAATATGGTTAACAAAAAGTACTGTTAAACTTCTACAATAGATGAGGGAAATATCCAGACTGATGTGTATATGCAGTATGTGAATTTCACATCATAATTGAAGGCAAATATTGTACTTCTGTACTAACTAATACAATAAGTCGCTGTGTTGATAAAGAGAACATATACAGGAAAAGTGGATTTATCTCAAACAGCTTTAAATTTACGAATATATTATGTCAGGCATTCAAATCCTACATAAAACCTGTTATTATAGTATGTCACACTCTGAAAGGGGGATTTCTCAATCAATTTTCTATTCATATGTTTACTTTACGATACAATTTGAAATATGTTTTTCTTGTAAATGAATATATGATGGTTTTCCTACTTTATCAACCTGAACATATATATTATATAAAAAATGTATTTGTAGTTAAGCAAAAGTCCTGCAACATTTCATTTAAATATCTAAATGAAACTACTATTGAGGTAGACTTGTTACGTTCAGAAAGTTATATAATAAGAATTGCAAGAATTTAACTTGTATTTATATGTTGGTAAAGCTCCTTTTTAGTAAAATTAGTAAAATGACACACATATGAATTACCAATTAAATCCACTAATACATGTATAAATAAAAAATTACTTAGAATATATAGATAAATAAATCAATGCTTAGATGAAATATTAAATATGGAAACAAATGCATACATGTATGTAATAATAATAACTTATTCGACCACTTATTTTAAACCACTCAGATCCATTTTATAATTATAATAAACGATGTGTTTTAGATCTATTATGCCTCTTGTGTAAACTGATCAGAAGGGTTTTTTATTCAGATTGAACTCTGCCCTTTGTATTTATCGGGCTCCATTGATCATGCGGTCTGAATAAAAGACGCATTGTCTCGAGGTTAATTTTAAGTGTTGACTCCTGCAGAGACTTGAAAGGGAACGCGGTGTTTCGCGCCATTACGCTGCTGTTCTACCGATGACGTAACCCTTCCCGAGACCTCTCTGGAACGCCCATCTTTCAAATATCCAAGGAGATCTCTGATTGGCTGCTGCGGAGCATGTGACCAACGGTCGCGGGAAGTCCTTTGCCACGCGCGTGATGGGAAGAGCCGCCTAGTTCTTCTTGACTCATTCAAACTTTTTTTCTGTCAACATTGATTTGGTTTTATTGAAGACCTGTTTCTGTGTCTGCGAGACATCGTGGAGTGACGGATACCGATACCCGACTTGACCGGGTAGTTTCTGTTTGTTTTTACTTTCTTCGGGACGGTGAGTTCTAGCTAGCCGACTCCATTTCTCGCAGTTGGAGGGGCGTGTTGGACTTAGCAAACAAGCTAACTTTTCCTGGGATGCTAACGGACTTTTAAAGTGTTAACGGTCGCTTTCGAACAAGTTTTTTTCCACTCGATACCTTTACATTAAGGTAGTTGGAAGTTCCCTGTGTGTTTTGGCTACTTAATCAGTAGCGGGTGTTCAACCGGGGGATTTTCCCGTCGACGTTGCCGGGGTTTAAATCCTGAAAATAAAAATGTCGAGCTACACTCGCCATCGGCACGGATCTCTGGCTCCTAAAATTGTGCCAATCCGACAGAAACTACAGTTTACCTCCAGCGATGGGGAGGATGAGTCCATAGAGGACGTAAACAACAGCACCGGAGGGGAGTCCGGCTTCACGGAGATGGATTCCCCGATGCCAGTGCGACGGGACACGGTGGATAAGCGCCTGGAGGGCAGCAGCAGCCCCCTGAACCAGTCCTGCGGGGACGACGAGGTGGAGCTGTGGGACGAGGAGAGCTTCGGATCCCCCTCTCACCTCCGGTCCCCAAGCAGCGTGATCTTCGCCCGCTGCTCCCCGTCTCCAAGGAAGTCCTCCCGGCTGTACGGAGGCTCCCCGGACCGGTCATACGTGCAGGACGACGGGGAAGCGTCCAGCTCTCCGATCCCCGACTGCCCCGACACACCTCCACACAAAACCTTCAGAAAACTCAGACTCTTTGACACTCCGCACACACCAAAGGTAGGGTTTCGTATGCTGTGATAACACTAGTTTTCATATAAATGTATATCTAAGTGAGTGGTCCTTTAGATCCAGAAATAAAGCAAGTTTCAGAGAGACAATTTGATTTTGTTTTTGAAAACTACCACAGCCTTATGGTGTTGGAAGAGCTCTTATACGTATGTAAAAAGCCTGTTATTGATAAAATAGTAAGTGGTTTCGTTAAGATTATTAAGAAATCACTTAAATGTTAGCATTTGACACCCTTTGGACTTTTTTAGGTTAAGTTATGATCTTGCATAACTCCTCTAAACAGCATTTAGAGCACATGTTATCCTCTAAATGTGTTTGAACATTTGAATATCTTGCTTCTGGATCATGGCATGTGTTGAATGCGAAAGGGAATCAGTGGAAAAACAAGTAAAACAACTCTTATGCAAACAGACCTGGTCTTTTTTTTTGAATTCCTTAGGATGCTTGAATTTGAATTACAACACGTGTTCAAAGCTTGTTATTGATAAACTCATATTTAGAACTTTAATGTTTGAATTCGACACGCTTTTAACCTTTTCAGGCAAGTTATGTCAGCTTACACAATCATTTTGAAGTAACATTTCTCCCCTTAGTTTGTTTGCATGTTGATTTGGCTGCTACTAGATCATGTCATGTGTTAAATGGGATAGAAGAACAAGCAAAACAAGTCTTACACAAACAAACCAGGTCATCTATTTTTTTTTGAATTCCTTGGGATAATTGTGCTATGTGGTTCACCAGTTAATGTGTAACTGAGCTCTTACATAATGTACTCTGCCAGATCATTTGGTGACATGGAGTTTTTAGCCTGGACATGTTTTTCTTCCCGATTACGCAACATTTACATTTTAAGCACCACATTTACTACCACTTATATATTCAACAATTCTTCATTATATATTCAACAATTCTTCATTTCATAACCACCAAACATAAACTGTCAACCAGGATTAGTAAAAAGTTTTTCTGACCCTTTCTAATGCATACACATAACCAGTTGCTTCAGGGAACACAACATTAGTAGTAGTACATTTACCAAAAATCAAGTAGGAATATTAACTTCCTTTTCCCCCTAATATACAACACACACTTCGACCTAGCTTCACAAGACTTCCTTTTACAAAAGTTTGAATATGTATATCTGCAGTTTTCCTCTCCCCTGCTCTTGAAGTAATTACCAAAGCACTAAATCTGTCCGTCTCTTTTTAATTTGTTTGCAGAGTTTGCTTTCCAAAGCCAGGAGCGCCGGGTCGGGGTCGTCCAGTCGGAGAGTCGCCCTGTTCAAGAATGTGGAGCCTTCAAGAAAGTCTCTCTCAGACAGCAGCAGGAGACAGCAGACGCCTCTGGTCAACTTTAACCCTTTCACCCCCGACTCCCTGCTCATACAGTCCGCCACACAGCAGAGGAACAGGAAGAGAGCGCACTGGAATGAGTGAGTTTTGTTAGAAAATACATGTGGACTTTAGAGGGACGTGTATCACAAAACACAGCTCGGCTCTTATAGGGGCTGGAAATCATTAACTACGTGCCTGGCTTGAAGTTTTATATACATTCCATGTTATAGGATGCTAGGTGTACTTACAAACAGGAAATGCACTTTTAAAAGTTTGTTGTTATGCTTTAATGGGCCACTCTTCTTTAAAATACTCCCATGAAGCATAGTTTTGGAGGTCAAACGCACTTTAACACACATTTAAAGTTAATGGGGAAGTGCAATAATAAGTGTAACTAAATTAAAAGTAATTTACCACATGTTTAGATGCGTTTTAAAGTTTGCAAATGCACGTTGAAATGCTTAAAATATGCATGATTTTGACTTAAGCAAAGGTGTAACAAACCCTTATGACAAACTGATAGTTTGTTTTCCAAATGGCGGAGGGGAGTTGACCAGCTGCAGTCCATAATATTTTGGTTTCACATTTCCTGGTTGTTTTTGGTTAAATAACTATTATTTACAGTTTCAGTAAAACCTGTTGCCGTCGAGCTGAACCCGTTTACCGTATTATCTGCTTCTCAGATCCAAGCCATTGTTATAACCAGATACGTTTGAGCCGTTATGAGGCCAGGGGGTTTTGGCTGGAAATCAAGACCTCATGGTTACTGCTCAACTCGCCATGTGCTCCTGAAGCCCCCACCCCACCCCCTCACTGCTGCCCCCTGCTGGAATGAATGCTAACAACACCTCTATTGTCTTTTATCTTTCAGCTCCTGTGGAGAAGACATGGAGGCGAGCGACGGAGAGGGAGAGGAGGAATTATTGCCACCATCAAAGGTAATTATTTCGTATAATTAAGGATTTACAGACTGAAAACGTATCTTTTTGCCACTGGATTTTGGAAAATATCCGGAAATAAGGTCTGTGGTTGACACACATTGAAGAGATGGATCACGTTTTGTTCTACAACATTAAATCCATCAGCAGTGACCCGACTGGTGATTTCTGAAGAGTTGACTGGTCTGAGAAACGATGGTTGTTACCAAGTGGCTGAATAGGACTACAGAAGTTGTCGAGGCCGTTGTACGTCATGACACCGAACACGTAAACACGTAAAGTTTGTTTTCCCCCGTGTTCTGCTTGAAAGCAAGTACCTGCCTCCTGCAAACTGTTCAAACAAACGCTTCAACTTGTACCATTTTGAATCTGTATGTTTGAATATGGATCTTAAGTTGGCGTGACGTTGAAGCAGCGACCCTGCTGTAGTTCGTTTGTAGCATAACGTTAGCATTTTGCTTCTGGCGACTAGATTTATGATTAGAAAATTATAAAAGTAGGGTAGACGTGTGGAGATTATCCGGCTGAACAAAACGTGATCCGTCTCTTAAATGTGTCTCAACCACAGACCTTATCTCCAGCTATTTTCCTAAATCCTAGGGAGAAATTGCATTGCTTTTTTATCGAAGGAACCGGAAGGAGTTTACTTCGGGGTTTTAGGACGCGTCACTGTGGCACTCTGCAGAGCAAGTAAATACAAATAAAAATAGATATATAGTAGCAATAGTGCAGAATAGTCAATATATACAAGTAATTTGAATATTGATATAAGTTGCAAACAGATGAATGTTATGGATGTTCTTTCAAAAGTTCAGGTG